TGCCAAAACACAGGAAGAAGCGTCAGCGGTGACACTCAGGGTCCCCCCACACACACACACACACACAACCGGACACTAGCTGAGGCCGCAAAAACAGGCCAACATCACTAAGCAATGAACTGCCATGAATGATAAGTGGTTATACTGCTTGATAGCATCTGTATGGATTCTATAACACCATGCTTGTTGGCTAGATGAGGGCAGACAGACACAACTTGACAAGACACCAACTTATTCCAAAGGCAGCGAGTTGATTTTCTTGTATGGGTTCAAAAGTGGTCGTGGCTAACACTAAAACTGGACAGGCTATAACATACACTGATCAGCCATAGCATTATGACCACCTGCCTAAAACTGTGTACATAGGAGTCAATGTAGCAGTTGGTTGGCACTTGTGTCTCTCTACATCTCACTGTGCATCTTCTGTGAAACTATGTGCTTTTATCTTTTTACTGTCATGAAGAGGGTAAATGTGTCGACCGTTCAATGAAAAGCTAGGGTAAAAGAAGTTAAAACTGTGGTCATGAGGACAGGTTAGAGTTTCTCATGCCTAGAGGTCATATCACCACTACAGATGCCGAATATTTCTCTTCCTATAGAACAATGTACAGTATTTCTCATTTTCAACCAATTTAACAAGGATTCAACCCAAGTAGAATCTTTTGAAAAGGATGAATGACATTTACAAGTTTAATCTACAGTATATGAATATCATCAGTGAGCCTTGGGTGTCCATGACCCTGTCACTGGTTCACTGTTTGTCCTTCCTTAGACCACTAAGGTACTAACCACTGCAGACTGGGAACACCCAACAAGATCTGCGGTCTAGGAGATGCTCTGACCCAGTCGTCAGCCATCACAGTTTGGCCCTTATCAAAGTTGCTCAGATCCTTACACTTGCCCATTTTTCCTGCTTTCAACACATCAACGTTGAGGACTGAATGTTCACCTGCTGCCTAATACACCCCACACACTGACAGGTGTCACTGTAATGAGATAATCAATGTTAGACACGTCACCAGTCAGTGGTCATAATGTTATGGCTGATTGGTTTAAGTTTTAAGACCTTGAACACTCCATTTTTGTGCAAAGTGCTGTTGCCATGCCAACCTGTAGAATCACACAGGAAATTATTTCCCCGGTTATCTGAATGTGGAGAGAAAGTCTCTTACCTGTGACAGAGTGGAGTCACTACAGGCCTTCCTGGCATCCTGCAACACAACAACAACAACAAAAAACAAAAAAATCATCAGGCTGACCAGGGACAAATTTCAATTTCAAATTTAATGTGATTACTGCAGACACAAATTAAACAAAAAGACAAAAAAAAGGATTTGACATTCATAGATCAAATCCACAAATCCAATTTGTGCATGACAACGGAGGCGCCTGATTGACAAGTTATATGCTGAGTGCATCACAAAACTCATCAAAAACTGAGAGTCACAGTTTGCAGTGGACAGACAGGGGCACACATGTGATGTACACACACACACACACACACACACACACACACACACACGCGTCAATATAAACAAACACATGCATGCACAATGTTGCCGTACCCGGATCTGATTGCGTAGTTGTTCGGCTTCCTGCCGCAACTGTTCCAGCTCGCTCATTGTCCCTCTGTGGTGTGTTCAGGCCACGCTCCGCTCCAAATACAGACTGGGCTGAGAAAAACACACGTGCCTACACGCACACGCACACTCACACTCACACACCCACACACTTTACCAGCTGACACCTGCAAGACAGAGACAGAAATACTGCAAGTTGAACAGATGGAGAGTGAAGGATATCAACACTTCCATCAGACAAACATAGGTATCCTGTTTGGGTTCAAACCAAAGAGGAAGGTGCTGC